GCATATTTACAAATTGAGTCGAACAGGAGCTTTAATGATTCTTCCTGATCTAGTGGTTCGTGTCAGAGTTTGAAACTCCTTTTCTTTTGAGATTGTTACTTCTTCAAGTTTGTTCCTTTCCATTTTCTTGTTTCTCTTCACCTTTCTCTTGAGGTGCTTTTCTGGGGCTGTGATTTGGTTTCAGATTCATTCTGTTTCTTTGGTATTGTGAGTCTTCTATTACATATGATCTGGGTTCATTTAGAGTTTTACAACAGTTGCTGGAGACCATTCTTTTCCTGTAGCACTAAAACTCGCATTGACGGTCTCAACGGATTGAGGGGAACACTATCTCCGTCATAATACATTGACATCCTGTTCTGGTTCTGCTCCAGTTGTTGTTGGATATCCTCTCTATGAAACTGGCATTGGTGATAATAGGATGATGTGCATGGAAGTGTTGACCTTAAGTTCTTGCCAATGCACAGCTGAATTGGAGATGGTAATGATTTACTAGGAGTGTTTCTCCAAATACTGATCTTGACCTACTTCTGTTGTCTTTTTAAGTATGTTTTTTATTGTTTGCACATACCGTTCTATGTGGCCATTACTCTGGGGATATTGAGGACTAGATGTACAGTACAATGCTTGATACTCCATTTATCACAGAAGAGACTAAAAGCTACTGATGAGAATGGGGGACCATTATCAGTCATCAATATTTCTGAACTTCCAAATTGCAAAAAGGTTTATTCCCACATTCAAAGAATTTTGGAAGCATCAGTCAATGGCATTTTATAAACTTCTGGATAGGCACTGTATCTATCCGCAATTAGCAAATATGGACTGTTGGCCAAATAGAAAATATCTGCCATTGCTTCTTGCCATGGATATGTAAGAATTCTGTGGGGTATCAGAGGTTCTTTTTTTCTGAGCTTGTCAAACCCTTTGACATTGTCTACAAGATTTCACTACTACTTCTATATCACAATTTATTCCTGGTCAGTATACCTTATCCTCGCTCTACTGAATGAAGCATTGATTCCTAGATGTGCAGCATGAATTTGCCGTAGAACTCTGGTTCTTTGTTTCTCTGGAATTATTATGGCTGGTCCTTTACATATAATATCCTTTCGAAGGTATAGGTCTTCTTTAAAATCGTAGTAGGGTTTGATGTTTGATGGGATAGACTTTTTATGTACTGGCCATCCTTCTGATATGTATTTTTTTTAGAGTCTGCAGACTTTGGTCTTGTCTTGTGTTTTCAGCTAATTCTATGAGTTTGGTGTCTGTAATTTTCATACCAACTGTTCTTATTAATACTTGTTCGTCTAGGTCTGGTGTTGAAAAATTGGATGTAGAATGCCTTACGTCCCTTGAAAGAACATCTGCAATGAGATCATCTCTTCCCAGCTTGTAATATAACTTGAAGTCGTATGCCAATAACTTTAGCATTAATCTCTGCAGTCTAGGAGACAATGCATTTAATGGTTTTTTAATTAGTGTGATTAAAGGTTGGTGGTCAGGATATGCTACAAATGATCTTCCAAGTAGCAGGTGATCATCTTTGAATGATACACAACAAAACTTTTCCTGAATCGAAAAGGAACTACTCACCTTATATTATGGATGTAAAAAATTTGATGATGAAAAAGCTAAGGGTTTTTTTTCCTGTGAAATTGCTGCTCCTAGAGCATGTTGACTGGCATCTGTATGTAGGGTTATAATTTTGTTTGTATCAAATTGTGCTAATGTTTGAGGCTGCGTTAGAATTTTCTTTATATAATTAAAATCCCTTCTTGCCTCTTCTGTCCATGTCCATTCAATATTTTTCCTGAGCAGCTGCCTAAGATTTTGTGTGAGATTTGATAAATTAGGTATAAATTTGCCTAAATAGTTCACTAATCCCAAGAATCTTTGTAGTGCTTTTTGGTTTTCTGGTTCTTTTAACTGTTGAATGGCAATAAGTTTTGATTCTNAACTTAAATTTAATTAGTCTCTTTATGTTGCTTTAAATATTATTTTGGGGATAAAAATTTTATATTTAAAAATAAGCTCTTGGCTTTTATACATTAATTCCTTGCAAATGGAGATTATTATACTCTGTATTATACCTTGCTTCTTTTAAGCATATCTGTTAGTGTCATATAGTACAAATGAAAAATGTTGACAGGCTTATTTACTGCTTACATTGATATCTAGTTTGTAATGCATTGAAATGTGAATTGCAATGATGATATGTAATTGCAAATTGTTGGAAGTTGTTTTATGTGATTTACTTCATGTTTATACACCCATCGTGACTCACTTAAGACCCCCCCCCATGAGACAGGAATACAGACACTTACTCTGAATACTTTATTCGAGGTCCTATTTGAACCAGGTGATCTCCACTCTTATATACTAGTCAGGTCCCTCTCTCTCTGTGTTGCCAGATCTTCCTGTAACATGTTTCCTTTTGTTTTAAATGACTAAACACACACAACTTAAATACATACATATTTACAAATTGAGTCGAACAGGAGCTTTAATGATTCTTTCTGATCCAGTTGTTTGTGTCAGAGTTTGAAACTCCTTTTCTTTTGAGATTGTTACTTCTTCAGTTTGTTCCTTTCCATTTACTTGTTTCTCTTCACCTCTCTCTTGAGGTGCTTTTTTGGGACTGTGATTTGGTTTCAGATTCACTCTGTTTCTTTGGTACTGTGAGTCTTCTATTAAGTATGATCTGGGTTCATTTAGAGTTTTACAACAGTTGCTGGAGACCATTCTTTAACTGTATGCACTAAAACTCGCGTTGACGGTCTCAACGTATTGAGGGGAACACTATCTCTGTCATAATACATTGACATCCTGTTCTGGTTCTGCTTCAGTTGTTGTTGGATATCCTCTCTACAAAATTTGCATGGAAGTGTTGACCTTATCACCAATGCCAATCATCCAATTAAGTTCCTGACAATGCACAGCAGACTGGAGATGGTAACGAGTTCCTAGGAGTGTTTCTCCAGTTTTGCAAAGCCAAATACTGATCTTGACTTGCTTCTGTTGTCTTTTTAAGTATGTTTTTTATTGTTTGCACATGCCGTTCTATGTGGCCATTAAAAGCTACTGATGAAAATGGGGGACCATTATCAGTCATCAATATTTCTGGACTTCCTAATCACAAAAAGGTTTCTTTGAACTTGGGAATAACTTTGGAAGCATCAGTCAATGGCATTTTATAAACTTCTGGATAGGCACTGTATCTATCCACAATTAGCAAATATGGACTGTTGGCCAAATAGAAAATATCTGCTGTTGCTTCTTGCCATGGATATGTAGGAATTCTGTGGGGTATCAGAGGTTCTTTTTTCTGAGCTGGTCGAACCTTTTGACATTGTCTACAAGATTTTACTGCTTCTTCTATGTCACGATTCATTCCTGGCCAGTATACCTTATTCCTCGCTCTACTGAAAGAAGCGTTGATTCCTAGATGTGCAGCATGAATTTGCTGTAGAACTCTGGTTCTTTGTTTCTCTGAAATTATTATGGCAGGTCCTTTACATATAATATCCTTCCATAGGTATATGTCTTCTTTAAAATCGTAGTAAGGTTTGATGTTTGATGGGACAGAATTTTTATGTACCAGCCATCCTTCTGATATGTATTTCTTTAGAGTCTGTAGACTTAGAATTAGCTGAAAAACACAAGACAAGATCAATGAGTTTGGTGTCTGTAATTTTCATACCATCTTATTAATACTTGTTTGTCTAGGTCTGATGTTGAAAGCCTTACGTCCCTTGAAAGAACATCTGCAATGAGATTATCTCTTCCCAGCTTGTAATATAACTTGAAGTTGTATGTCAATAACTTTAGCATTAATCTCTGCAGTCTGGGAAACAATGCACTTAAAGGTTGGTAGTCAGTATATGCTACAATCTTCCAAATAGCAGGTGATCAAATTTTTACATCCATAATATAAGGCGAGTAGTTCCTTTTCGATTCAGGAATAGTTTTGTTTTTCATCGTCATCTTTGAATGATACACAAGCTAAGGGTTTTCCTTCCTGTGAAATTGCTGCTCCTAGAGCATGTTGACTGGCATCTGTATGTAGGGTTATAATTTTGTTTGTATCAAATTGTGCTAATGTTTGAGGCTGTGTTAGAATTTTCTTTATATAATTAAAATCCCTTCTTGCCTCTTCTGTCCATGTCCATTCAATATTTTTCCTGAGCAGCTGCCTAAGATTGTGTGTGAGATTTGATAAATTAGGTATAAATTTGCCTAAATAGTTCACTAATCCCAAGAATCTTTGTAATGCTTTTTTGACCCGTCCATCCCGCTAGATGGCGGGCAGTCTTAATGGTTTTTTTATGGTTAATATTTAATGTTTAATATTATTGGAGAGAGTTGGCAACACCAAGACGGTGGTGTTGAGTTACTAAAAGGCGCGAGAATATAGAGGAGTGCTCTTTCCTCTCGAATTGTTGTACATAGTTGATTTGTTGGTTTTTTTGTGTAAATAAAATCAAAAAGNTATTATTGGAGAGAGTTGGCAACACCAAGACGGTGGTGTTGAGTTACTAAAAGGCGCGAGAATATAGAGGAGTGCTCTTTCCTCTCGAATTGTTGTACATAGTTGATTTGTTGGTTTTTTTGTGTAAATAAAATCAAAAAGACAGACTTGGTGAACTTTTTCTTGGTTGGAGATATGACGGGAACCTGGAGTACAAACAAGACGGTCAGGTGAGACTTACAAAAATTAATTAATCATCACACGGGGCAAGAATCGGTCTGATGCGACATAATGGCGCCCGAACAGGGACTCAGGTTACCCAAAGCTATTGTATAGATAAATATTCTCCAATTGTTCTCCAACATTGTTTACATTTGGAAACACTCACTTAATGTGGAAAATGAGTGCTAATTGAAAGATTTGATGGAAATACATCTCGCATTATTTCTATTTGAGCTTGAATCGAGGTTGCCTCTATGTCTATCATTGTCTGCATTTGCTATTTGGCTTAATTAATAAGATTCACGTCATGGAGCCCTCAATCAGATTACGTGGATCCTACCGAGGCGCTTTTACAAAGTTCGCCGACAAGGTGCAGGAGTTTTTGACGTCGAAGGTTGAAGATTTCGATTCGTGTGCTGGATTTTTGGCCCAGTTACAGGAAAAATATTCTAAAATAGAAACCATCGACAAAGAAATATTAGATAAGTTACAAAAGGATGAGAAGTGTTCTCAACAGATGTTGGATGAGGAAGTTGAGGGTATTGAGAATTACAATGGTACATTCGTAGACTTGAAAACAAGACTAGAGCGCCGTTTGAATACGTCGAAGGAGCTAGATAAAACGTGAAGTGAAGGCGAAACTGGCTGTTCTAAGGGAAATTTTAAGCTACCAAAGATTGAATTGCAAAAATTTGATGTCAATTTGAAAAATTATCTTTCCTTTTGGGGACTATTTAAGAAAATACATGAAGATCCCAATATTTCGGATTTGGATAAATTTCAATACCTCATTCAGTCGACTCTGAAGGGCTCAAGGGCCAGGGAAGTAATCGAATCGTTCCCCGTAACAGCCGAGCATTACCCTCAAGCAATTGAGTGTTTAAATTCGCGTTTCGGAAGAGAAGATGTGCTCATCGAGGTTTACGTGAGAGAACTCCTGAGTCTAGTGCTAAATAATGCGTTAGTGCAAGAGCACAAATTGCCAATTGTGAAACTTTATGATCGTATCAAGACACAACTGCGATCCCTTAAAATGCTTGGTGTTACTATGGATAAGTGTGCTTCAATGCTCTACCCTTTAGTTGAATCTAGCTTACCGACTGATCTCCTGAGAATTTGGGAAAGACACCTAAATTCGATGCTACTCAAGTCTGGAAAAGAGAATTTCAACAAATTAGAAACTCTGATGCAGTTTTTGCGTAACGAAATTGAAAGTGAGGAGAAAATTTCCTTAGCCACAAGTGGGTTTGGCTTTCAAAACAAAACCAAGAAGGTTGTACAAGGTAAAATTAAGGCTACCTCTTCCTATAACAAGACTGTGCCAACTGGAATGGAACTTTTGACTTCTGCTCAAGAGAAACCATTTAGGGATCAGCAGTGTGTATTCTGTGAGAAATCTCATGCTAGTGCTGAGTGCAGGAAGGCGGAAAATTTGACTTTAGATCAAAGGAAACAAATCCTTATAAAGCGAGGAGCTTGTTTTAAATGCTTAAAACTGAATCACATATCTTCTTCATGTAGGGCAAAGTGCAGTTGTACAGTTTGTGGCAAACCGCATCACGTTCTTCTCTGTAGGAATAACCGAAAGGTATCTCCCAACAACACTTCTGTTGGTGAAGGTGACGGCGCCTCCACAGTATGTGAGCAGGCATTGGCTAATGTGTCATCAACTCCACGTGTCTTGCTACAGACTTTGGTTGTGATTCTGAGGGGAGAGGAAAGGTGTCTTAAAATCCGTGCAATTATTGATACTGCCTCTCAAAGGTCCTATATCTTGAAGAGCACTGCGGAAAGAGTCGGTTACCAACCAATGAGAAAGGAAAATTTGAAACATTCGTTGTTTGGAGGTTCTTGTACGGATATTTGCGAACACGATGTGTACAAGGTACACCTCTCGTGCATAGATGATAAATATCGTTGTAATTTTGATGTCTTGGACCAATCGACCATTTGTTTAACCATTCCCCCAGTTTCCCAGGAACTGTGTCAAGATGAATTGTCAAATATGGGGATATCCTTGAGCGATTGTCAAGGTCCCATCGAACTGCTCATAAGAGCAGATGTTGCTGGCAAACTGATGACGGGAGGAATCCAGAGACTCAAATCGGGATTAACTGCTATTGAAACGAAACTGGGTTGGACGATCTTAGGATGTGCAAAGGAGCATTCCGTACCAACTGAAGACTTGATTGTTACTTCGATGATAATTGGAGATTTGCGAATTCCTGATCTTTGGGAATTAGATATTCTTGGAATAAAGGACCCTGCCGAAAAACAATCAAAGGAGGAACTGGAACAAGCATCTATCGAACATTTTGAAAAGACACTGAAGAGAGACAGTGATGGTCGGTATATGGTATCCTTGCCTTGGATAAAAGGTTGCCAAGCTCTACCAAATAATAAGGTTCTAGCCGAGCGAAGATTAAGATCAACAGTGAAGACTTTACAAAAGAAGGGCCTGGTCGAGGGAGTCTTCGAGCAATGGCTTGAAGATCAAATAATAGAAGAAGTGGAAAACGTTAAAGTGAAGGAGACCAACTGTCATTACCTTCCACATAGAGCTGTCATCAAAGAGCATTCCACGACGAAGATTCGTCCAGTCTTCGACGCCTCCGCTAAAGAAAGGGGCAATGTCTCCTTAAATGATTGTTTAGCAAAAGGTCCTAACTACATTGAACTAATACCCAGTATCCTGAATAAATTTCGATTATTTGAATACGGAGTAATAGCTGATATTCGAAAGGCTTTTTTGCAGATAGAGATAAGTGAAGCGGATCGCAACTTTCTCAGATTCTTGTGGTGGGAGGGTGGCGACCCTGGGAAATTGAAAGTTTTCAGACATCGCAGGGTAGTGTTTGGAGTAAAGACTCTCGTATTCAGAAGTAAAGATAGTGAAGATTTCCGTTTACCCATTATCTTGCCTGGGAATCACTATATTGTACAAAAACTAATAGAGTGGAAACACAGAGAATTAAACCACGCTGGTGTTCAAATTTTAATGAATCATCTGCGCGAGAAATACTGGATACTAAGGTGCAGAAAATATATCCGGCTTATCACACTCCGATGCTCTAGGTGTCGAAGATTTGCTGTGTCTTCAGCCCACCCTGAATCTCCGCCATTGCCTGTGGATCACATAAGAGATGCTGCGCCATTCGAGGTTATTGGCGTTGATCTAGCTGGTCCACTGTACTTGAGGGATAGGCAGAAGTGTTGGATTGTTCTGTATACCTGTGCAGTGTACAGGGCTTTGCATCTCGAGTTGTTGATGTCTCTGTCAACGAAGGCGTTCCTGCAAACATTCAGACGATTTGTGTCAAGAAGTGGACGCCCTTCTGTTATTTATAGTGATAACGGTACAAATTTTGTCGGTGCCGCCAAAATTTTCTCTGAAGCTGAACTTACAAAGATTAAAGATGAAATTCTTGTTCAGGACATTACCTGGAAGTTCATTCCTCCAGCTTCGCCCTGGTGGGGTGGCTGGTGGGAAAGGTTGGTAGGATGTGTAAAGCAGATTATTAGGAGAATTTTGGGACGAGCTTCGTTAACTTACGAAGAACTCTACACAATTATCTGTGAGGTAGAGGGTTTGATGAACTCTCGACCACTTACTACTCTCTCGGAAGATACTGAAGATTTGATTCCGTTGACTCCTAATATGTTTCTGCAAGGAATAAAGGAAACTGGACTTCCCGATTTAGACCATATGGAAAAGGTCAATCTTGGGAAGAGATTCCGTTATTTATGCAAATTGAGAAAAGATTTACGAAATAGATTTCGAATTGAGTACCTGGCGCAATTGCAAAACCCGAGGGGGTTAGCCAAGGGCACTAAAATGATTGCTGTGGGAGATATCGTCTTGGTTGGACATGACAATCAAAAACGACTTGATTGGCCTCTGGCGAGAGTTGTCGAGATCTATCCAGGTAAAGATGGATTGGTGAGAGTGGTAAAATTAAAAACACAGGTTGGATTTCTTATCCGTCCTGTTAGGAAATTGTACCTATTGGAGATTTCTTCGGGGGATGAGAAGAAAGATATGCAAGAAGAATTTCGTGACAGGACTGCAGGAAGTGATGTGACAAACTCATCTGAGAAGTATCGAGTCTCCAAAAGGGGCAGACCCCTAAAGACTCCCAATCGGTTAAATCTATAAACTGATTCGAACTCCTTCAATTTGTACTTTGTGTTTTGTTGAGTTTGAATTTAAGTTTGATTTGATTTTGCCTAACAAAATCAAAGGTGGGAGGATGACCCGTCCATCCCGCTAGATGGCGGGCAGTTTTAATAGTTTTTTTTATTTAATGTTTAATATTATTGGAGAGTTGGCAACACCAAGCTGGTGGTGTTGAGTGACAAAAAGGCGCGAGAATATAGAGCGGGACGCTCTTTCCTACTGAATCATTGTATATAGAAGGTTTGTTGGTTTTGTGTAAATAAAATCAAAAAGACAAACTTGGTGAACTTTTCTTTGGTTGAAGATACGNTGTTGACTGGCATCTGTATGTAGGGTTATAATTTTGTTTGTATCAAATTGTGCTAATGTTTGAGGCTGCGTTAGAATTTTCTTTATATAATTAAAATCCCTTCTTGCCTCTTCTGTCCATGTCCATTCAATATTTTTCCTGAGCAGCTGCCTAAGATTTTGTGAGAGATTTGATAAATTAGGTATAAATTTGCCTAAATAGTTCACTAATCCCAAGAATCTTTGTAGTGCTTTTTGGTTTTCTGGTTCTTTTAATTGTTGAATGGCAATAAGTTTTGATTCTCCTGGTTTTATACTGTCTGGTCCTATTATGTGCCCTACAAAGGTGACTTGCCTTTGTGCCAGTTGGATCTTGCTTTTTTCAAATTTAAGGCCAAGAGTTTCTGCTCTTTGTAAGACTTTTATCAGTTTTTGATTATGCTCTCTTAATGTGTAGCCGTAGATTAGAACATCATACATATGTGTGTAAAAGCCTTCAATATCTGAAAGTATCGTGTTGATGGCTCTTTGAAAATGCTCTGATGCTGTTGTGATTCCAAACAGCAATCTTGTAAATTTATATTTTCCAAAAGGTGCATTCATTATTAACAGTTCTTGTGATTGTTCTTCTACCGGTAACTGAAAGAAGGCTGATTTAGCATCCATAACTGTATATCATCTAGCTTTTGGAATGTTTGATAGCAGTTCTGTTGGTGATGGTTTCTGATAATTATCTCTGATAATGTATTTATTTAACTCATGCGGATCCATAGACAGGCATAATTTTCCTTGTTTCTTTTTAACAATGACCATTGAGTGGAGCCAACTAGAAGTTTCTTCTGTCTTTTTTAACATTCCTTTTCTAACCAGATCCTCTAAAAAACAGAAGTTAAACAAGAATTAAAGCTTTTGGGATCCTTCTAGGAGAGAAGTTTTGGAATTGCATTTTGATTTAATTTGTTTATGGTTATAAACAAATTAAATGTTTATAACTTAAAAATTAAACTCATGTTTGAGTTTGCCACTTCCCTCAAATACACTGGAATAGGATTTCAAAATATTTTCTGGGTTAAGTTCAGGTGTAATAGAATTTATCCTTTTAATAAGCTTTAGTTTTCTGTATGCATCTCCACTCAGTAGAGGTAGCCCACATGTCCTGATGATGATGAATTTGCTTGTGGTTTCATGGCTTTCAGACTTGAGTCGGAGGTGACATTCACTGACGATAGGTATTCTCTCACGTTTGAAGGTATAGGCTTTGATCTTACTCTGTTTTATCATTGGAGAATTGGTCCACTGCTTCAAATACATCCAAGAAATAACATTAGTGTCCGCTCCAGTATCTAATTTGATTTTAGTGGGAGTCCCATTTATTTTAATGATTTCTTCCCAGTGTTCATGCGTGACTTCATTCAGCACAATGATTCTATCCAATAGATAATCTTTCTTATCTGAGATGACAATGGAATTAGGATCATCAATTTCATTTATTTTCTTTTTGCATTTATTACAAAATTTGCCAAAAGCTGGACAGTTTCCATACTCATGTATAGTTAGGCATTTGTGACATTTTTTATTCTTGACACTATTTTTATTCACCATACACGTATTCGATTTTATCGGTTTATCTTTTTGTCTTGGAAACTGACTTTTCACCTTGTTCACTGCTATTTCTGTTGCCCTGATTTTAGATAATTGATGCTTAGACAGTTCAGACGCTCTTGCCATGTCTATTGCTTTGGCCAATATTAAGGTCGGATCTTGCAGCATTTTTTGTCTGATACCATCATCTTGTGTGCCTAAGACAAGACAATTCTGTCTCTTATAAGAGATTCTGTTAGGGTGCCAAAATCACATCCTTGAGCATTTGTACATAGCTCTGTTACAAATTCGTCCACAGTTTGTCCTGGCTTCTGTACAAGCAAGAAAAACACTATCTATAGTAGATATGTATTCTTATATGGCTGAAAATGGTCTGTGAATTTAGCTAAGATTTCATCCACTGTCAGATTCGTGGCATTTTCCTCTAAATGGAAATTGTTGTATATTTCTAAACCTTTCTCTCTGATTATATGGAGCGGAATACTTTTTGCAGATAAATTTATAGCTGTTGCATAAATATCAAATCATTGCTTCCATAAACTCCAATTGTCTGGATTTGACGTGTCCATGGAAAAAGATTCTGGAGGAGTATCATTAAGGATGCACCAATAAGCAAAATGACCGATTAATCGGTCGATTAGTGTTAATAATTTTTTGTGTTAATAGTTGCCACCTAGGCCGGATGGCCAAGCAGCCAAGGTGGCAACCCACCGCTCTGGGGGACCCGGGCTCAAATCCGAATGGGTCGAAAAGTCCCCAGGAAATTTTTGGGGGGTCCATTCAGACATGTTGGGCCTGCTATAAGAGGCCCTCTTAGTGCCCACAGGGCAGAAAGAGTATTTTAAAAAAAACAGTTAATTATATTATGATTATTATCGCATGTAATTATATATTCTTAATAAAAAGATAACATTTCATATGATACAAAATAATTTTGTAACAACTTGTTATAAAAATAATTTTCAATATGAAGCTACTTTTTCTTTTTCAGATTTATGTATTAAATTAAAATGATAAATTATTATTTTGATAAACTTTTAAATTTTAATTAATATCTAAATCCAAAACCCCCATGGCTTCCAGTATTGCTTGGAAATTTTTTAAGAAAGATAAAAACGAGAAGTTTTCCAAGTGCAATTTATGCCAGTCTTTTATTTCGAGAGATGGAAAAAATGCTAAAACTTTCGCCACCAAAAACATGATAAATCATCTGGAAAAATGTCATCATGAAAATTTTTTAAAATAAACTTAAAAGATGAAAAGAGAAAGTTCTGAAACGAAAGAAGCTGAATGTTCATCAGTAACAACGGAAACTCATATCCAAAGACAAGCTACTTTAACTCAATTAATAGAGAAGAAAAAATTGTGGAATATCAACGATACAAAGAAGTTTATTATTTGATTGGATAAATGATAAGCGTAGATATACAGAATACTTTGTTGTATCAGATTTAGGATTTCAAAGATTACTAAAAAAACTCGTTCCTAATTACAATATTCCCAGCAGAAAATATATATCTGAAAATAACATCCGTGATATATTTCAAAAAGTTCAGTCAAAAATTCAGAAAGCTATTGATGATTCAAAATGTACAGTATTTAACTGCTGATATTTAGACAGCAACTACAAATAATTTTCCTTTTTTAAATGTAACAGCCTCACTGGTTGAAGGATAATTTTCAGCAAGAGCTGTTTTGCGAATTGTTTCCTTTGAAGGTTCCCACACAGCTACACTTATCAGTGAACAGATAAAGATAGTTCTTGAACGATATAAGTTGACAAAAGTCATAAGATATTCTTAGTACTGAGAGATTCCAGAGCAAATATGGTAGCTGGAATCAGGAATTGCAACTTAGAAGTATTATCATGCTTTACACATACACTGCAGCTGACACTAAACGAATGCATATTTTCTCAACAAGATATGAAAACTATAATCACAGTTAATAGAAATATTGTCACACATTTTAATCATTCTTCTGTAGCTATAAGTAAATTGGAAGATTTGCAAGACAAGTTAGGTTTGCAGAAACACAAATTAATTCAAGATGTTCCTACTCGCTAGAATTCTACTTACTGCATGTTGCAAAGAAACTTTGAATAGCAAAAAGCCCTTGTGCATATATGCTATAGATAATAAAATTCCCACGTTGAGCACATATCAGTGGTCTCTCATATTATCAAAAGTAAAAAGCAGTAGTTCCATTAGTGGCATTTAATTCCACAATAGAAGAACTAGAAAATACAATATAAAAAGATTTTCAGCATATATAGAAAACAAGTCTTTATAGTTGTCATCCTTATTAGATCCAAAATTAAATTTTAAAAAAGTGATAGAGAAAATAAAAAGATGGACAATCAATAGCTTAGATAATGTTGATAATTCAAAATCTCAAGAAGCTTCTGCTTCTGGAGACGATCAAGATGGAGGATAATCTCTGAGTTTTTCTAATTTCTTTGATGAATTAACCTCTGGTGAACGAAACAATGAATAAAAGCATGCTTTTAAAAAGGAAGAAAAAACAAAACGAAGAAACAAACGTTTCAATCAAGAATTAGAATATTATTTACATTTACCTCTTATACAAAGACATAGCGACCCTTTTTTTTTTGTGGAGAAGTTCAAAAGTTTTTCCTAATTTAAGCAAAATAGCTATGAAATATCTAAGTCCCTCAGCATCTTCCATTGAAAGTGAAAGACTTTTCAAAGTTGCAGGTAACATTTAAGAGCTTTGAAAATGGTGAAATTCTCATGTTTTTGTATTACAGTTTAAGNCTTACAAAGATTAAAGATGAAATTCTTGTTCAGGACATTACCTGGAAGTTCATTCCTCCAGCTTAGCCCTGGTGGGGTGGCTGGTGGGAAAGGTTGGTAGGATGTGTAAAGCAGGTTATGAGGAGAATTTTGGGACGAGCTTCGTTAACTTACGAAGAGCTCTACACCATTATCTATGAGGTAGAGGGTTTGATGAACTCTTGACCACTTACTACTCTCTCAGAAGATACCGAAGATTTAATTCCTTTGACCTTTTCCATATGGTCTAAATCGGGAAGTCCAGTTTCCTTTACTCCTTGCAGAAACATATTAGGAGTCAATCTTGGGAAGAGATTCCGTTATTTATGCAAGTTGAGAAAAGATTTACGAAATAGATTTCGAATTGAGTACCTGGCGCAATTGCAAAACCCGAGGGGGATGGCGAAGGGCACGAAAATTATTGCTGTAAGAGATATATCGTCTTGGTTGGGCATGACAACCAAAAACGACTTGATTGGCCTCTGGCGAAAGTTGTCGAGATCTATCCAGGTAAAGATGGATTGGTAAGAGTAGCCAAAATAAAAACACAAGTTGGATTTCTCATCCGTCCTGTTAGGAGATTGTACCCCTTGGAGACCACTTCGGGGGATGAAAAGCAAGCTATGCGAGAAGAATTTCATGACAAGACTGCAGACTCTGATGAAAACAATCGCGAGGGGTCCTGTGATCAGTCCCGAATGACCTCTGCCACTGCAGGAAGTGATGTTACAAACTCATCTGAGAATCATTGAGTATCAAAAAGGGGCAGACCCATAAAGACTCCCAATCGGTTGAATCTATAAACTGGTTCGAACTCATTCAATTTATACTGTATGTGTTTTGTTGAATTTAAATTTAAGTTTGATTTGATTTTGCCTAACAAAATCAAAGGTGGGAGGATGACCCGTCCATCCCGCTAGATGGCGGGCAGTCTTAATGGTTTTTTTATGGTTAATATTATTGGAGAGAGTTGGCAACACCAAGACAGTGGTGTTGAGTTACTAAAAGGCGCGAGAATATAGAGGAGTGCTCTTTCCTCTCGAATTGTTGTACATAGTTGATTTGTTGGTTTTTTTGTGTAAATAAAATCAAAAAGACAAACTTGGTGAACTTTTTCTTGGTTGGAGATACGACGGGAACCTGGAGTACGAACAAGACGGTCAGGTGAGACTTACGAAAATTAATCAATCATCACACGGGGCAAGAATCGGCCTGATGCGACATTTTTGGTTTTCTGGTTCTTTTAATTGTTGAATGGCAATAAGTTTTGATTCTTCTGGTTTTATACTGTCTGGTCCTATTATGTGCCCTACAAAGGTGACTTGCCTTTGTGCCAGTTGGATCTTGCTTTTTTCTAATTTAAGGCCAAGAGTTTCTGCTCTTTGTAAGACTTCTATCAGTTTTTGATTATGCTCTCTTAATGTGTCGCCGTAGATTAGAACATCATCCATATATGTGTAAATGCCTTCAATATCTGAAAGTATTGTGTCGATGGCTCTTTGAAAATGCTCTGATGCTGTTGTGATTCCAAACGGCAATCTTGTAAATTTATATTTTCCGAAAGGTGTATTCATTATTAACAGTTCTTGTGATTGTTCTTCTACCGGTAACTGAAAGAAGGCTGATTTAGCATCCATAACTGTATATCATCTAGCTTTTGGAATGTTTGATAGCAGTTCTGTTGGTGATGGTATCTGATAATTATCTCTGATAATGTATTTATTTAACTCATGCAAATCCATACACAGGTGTAATTTTCCTTGTTTCTTTTTAACAATGACCATTGAGTGGAGCCAACTAGAAGTTTCTTCTGTCTTTTTTAAGATTCCTTTTCTAACCAGATCCTCTAAAAAACAGAAGTTAAACAAGAATTAAAGCTTCTGGATCCTTCTAGGAGAGAAGTTTTGGAATTGCATTTTGATTTAATTTGATTATAACCTCATGTTTGAGTTTGCCACTTCCCTCAAATATACTGGAATAGGATTTCAAAATATTTTCTGGGTTAAGTTCAGGTGTAATAGAATTTATCCTTTTAATAAGGTTTAGTTTTCTGTATGCATCTCCACTCAGTAGAGGTAGCCCACGTGTCCTGATGACGATGAATTTGCTTGTGGTTTCATGGCTTTCAGACTTGAGTCGAAGGTGACATTCACTGACGATAGGTATTCTCTCACGTTTGAAGGTATAGGCTTTGACCTTACTCTGTTTTATCTTTGGAGAATTGGTCCACTGCTTCAAATACATCCAAAAAATAACATTAGTGTCCGCTCCAGTATCTAATTTGATTTTAGTGGGAGTCCCATTTATTTTAATGACTTCTTCCCAGTGTTCATGCATGACTTCATTCAGCACAACGATTCTATCCAATAGATAATCTTCCTTATCTGAGATGACGATGGAATTAGGATCATCAATTTCATTTATTTTCTTTTTGCATTTATTACAAAATTTGCCAAAAGCTGGACAGTTTCCATACTCATGTATAGTTAGGCATTTGTGACATTTTTTATTCTTGACACTATTTTTATTCACCATACACGTATTCGATTTTATCGGTTTATCTTTTTGTCTTGGAAACTGACTTTTCACCTTGTTCACTGCTATTTCTGTTGCCCTGATTTTAGATAATTGATGCTTAGACAGTTCAGACGCTCTTGCCATGTCTATTGCTTTGGCCAATATTAAGGTCGGATCTTGCAGCATTTTTTGTCTGATACCATCATCTTGTGTGCCTAAGACAAGACAATTCTGTCTCTTATAAGAGATTCTGTTAGGGTGCCAAAATCACATCCTTGAGCATTTGTACATAGCTCTGTTACAAATTCGTCCACAGTTTGTCCTGGCTTCTGTACANTCTGTCTCTTATAAGAGATTCGGTTAGGGTGCCAAAATCACATCCTTGAGCTTTTGTACGTAGCTCTGTTACAAATTCGTCTACAGTTTGTCCTGGTTTCTGTACAAGCGAGAAAAATACATATCTACTATAGATAGTGTTCTTATACGGCTGGAAATGGTCTGTAAATTTAGCTAAGATTTCATCCACTGTCGGATTCATGGCATTTTCGTCTAAATGGAAATTATTGTATATTTCTAAGCCTTTTTCTCCGATTATATGGAGCAGGATAGCTCTCTGCTGTGGAATACTTTTTGCAGGTAAATCTATAGCCGTTGCATATATATTAAATCGTTGCTTCCATAGACTCCAATTTTCTGGATTCGACGTGTCCATGGAAAATGGTTCCGGAGGAGTTAAACTATTCATCTCGCTTTCTTTTTTTTTTTTTTCCTGTTACTTTAAAGTAATCGTTATATTACTATATAAAGGAGACTGTCTGTCTGCCGCAGCGTCAACCTTTGAACGAAGTTTCTAATTACTTGTATAGTTAAGCAGGCGCATGTTCGTTAAGCCTCGTTTCCTTTACTGGCTTAATTATCCGCTGCCACCATGTTTTATATGGCTTACTTTGTGTTTCCACGCCGTCCGTGACGCACTTAAGACCCCCCGTAAGACAGGAATGCAAACACTTACTCTGAATACTTTATTCAGGGTTTATTCGGAACGGACGATCTACACTTGCATACATTAAACATGGCCGTCTGTCTTGCACGTGCCGCGCTCTCTCTGGTGTTGCCAGATCTTACCATAACATGGATGAGGGTGACCAGACACATTATCTATTACCAATAAAATCTTAAATGGTTACCCTTCATTCTCCAAATATTTCTTCACTTTAGAAATGAAGCATTTATGAAACCATGCAGTGAATAATACAACTATAATCATGCCTTGGAATTGTGCTGCTAGAAGACAGGCATATACTTTTTATTTTTGTTTTTAAGATTCTTTGCTCAGTAAACAACTCAGGTTTTATCATATGTCTGGCCACATTGCCATGTAGTACTAGCATTAATCTGTCCTTGTATGTTTAAAACCTATTGCCTGTTTTGCACTTTTGTGTATATAGGTCCTCTCAGGCATATTTTCCAAAGAAGGCCTGTTTTGTCACAATTAAAAACTTGCTTAGGATTATAGACTTTCTCCTCAATGGTTTTTTTTAACTCTGCTATCTAGCAGAATTAAACACAATCAACAAAAGCATTCTTGTCAGCAGATGCAGTTTCTCTAATAATTTTTATATTTTTTAGATTAAACTTATTTTTGAATCTATGTAACTATCTCTTGCTTGCTGTAAATGGCTTAGTTTTCTCTTCCATACTGTCTTGTGACCAAATGTCCTCATATAATCTCAGTACCTTTTACTGTAACATGTTGCACTCTTTTTGAAATCATATCTTATACCACAGATTTAACACTTTTCCATCTTGAGTAACATCTTATTATGGACTGTATAAGAAACTTTTGTGGATTGGAGTGCAACAGAAAAGCTGGCACAAATTTTATTTTTGCTCTTCATTACTTCATGTATCAAAGATTCATTTTTTCCATGTGGCTTGGCAATCTCTGCAAACAATTTTTTTTTCTATTTCAACCATATTGAGAATTTTCACTTTCTCAATTATAATTAGTACTTTGCATCATCTTTTAGGCTTAGAATCCATTTTAGAATTTATTTAAAAAACTTACTTGAATAAAAATGTTTTAAATTTGGTTTAATGAAAAAAGACAGAAAAAACAACTATTTGATTCAATAAATCAAGCAAAACTAAATAAAATTATGCACCACATATAAAAAATCACAAGTTTTGTAATCAAAATGCATTTTGACAAGTTTACAACTGTTCCTATACAGCACTTTGTGAACTGCAGTTAACTGAAACCATGGTTGCTGAGATCATGGATACAGCAGTCTCACTGTACAATGTTTTGTTATCTTATATTGTATAATAGTTTTACCAGAAGAGCTGTTTTACTTTTATATAATAGTGAAGTTACATTTTTATCAGTAGTATATACAGAATTCCTAACAAAATAACTTAAAATTTTTAACAGTTTTTTGATATCCTATATAGGATATCAAAAAACTGTTAAAAATTTTAAGTTATTAACTGTTTTTTGATATCCTATATAGGATATCAAAAAACTGCTATCCTTTTGCCTGTGTCTATTTTTTATGAACTTTATAATATACATGTTATGGCATAATTATGTCCTTATTTTATTTTAAAGCAATTGTGTTGAAATTCATACACATTAAATTACATGATATTACAAAACATACCTCAGTGAAGGATTTTTGAGTTTCACTTTATTTCAATTCAGCTGCATGCAATGTCAATGCAGTGTTTGGACTTTCAAAACCCAGAGGGAGAAATTCAGAGTGGTAATGTTGGGTGATCTCATAGGCCATTACATATCACTATCATGCCCAATTCAGTGTCCAGAGAAGAGGTTATTTCAAGCTGCATGAATTTTCATGCCCAATAAGATGGAACTCCATCCAACTGAATGAAGACTTTATTGCTGAATAAATTCTGTTACTTCATGTCCAGATGTCCAGAAGGACAATTTCAATTAGAACAGCATGAAAAGATTCTGGTATGATAGTATTCCCAGGTAAATACAAAAAAGTCCCAGCACAGTTATTACTGACAGCAGACACAAGATGTTAATTTTCACAAATCCTGTAGATGATGATTGTCTGTGGAAAGTTGTTCTACCTACAAGCACTTGTACCAAAACCACTTCAAAGAACATTTTTCTAAAGAACATCACAAAGCACAATATTTGAAATCCTTCATGGGATATGTGAATATCCCAGTGATGATATTTGAAAGATATTGAGGGTAGTATCTGGATGTAGTATATGCTTTTGCCATAGGTACTGTATACCATGGCTACATTTCAGTTTAGCTTATAGTATGTTTGGGAGTTGATATATGGCAAGTATAGGTCTAAACAAGAATTTTGAACTGAAAATTCTGAGGTTAACTTCTACATTGGCATATATGCAATATTTGTAAATTTTTATATAATGATCCACACATGGAATTTTTATTTTCCATTAAAGTATTATCATCTAGATATCTGAGTAGTAACTTGTCTCCGAAGAGGATTTGGATTTGAATTAACTTAGACTTCACAATTCGTCATAGCAGATGTTTGGGCATTGCTCCTCATCTCTTGTGTCTGCTGGCCAATCTCATCATAGGTCAGATCCATCCATAATGGGTATAATTTTAGCTAACTTCACATGCTGGTATCTCACATTAAGCTATCTATTATATCATCATGATTTTTGGGAACAGGTGGATTAATAAGGCTAATTTAACTGTACTCTCAGTAATTTGAATAATTATACAAGTTATAAAAGATTTGTATAATTAATCAAATTACTGAGCTACAATTATTGAAATTACTAAAATAGTTTTTGATATTTTTATCATGTATAAGTTTTTACTTCTGTTTCTCTAGCTGTTCATTTTTTGTGAAGTTTGACATGGCACATATTCATTATTAGTATTCTATGTTCTCATCATTGTTCTATTTTTGTTTTATCTGTCTAGTTTGACTTTTTTTTAAGTCATCAATGTTTTTTGTCAATCATCCTTTGCAATACTAATCATTAGTATAAATTTGTCATTTTTCGCTCATCATCTCTAAGTTACAAACTTGATAATTCCTTTGCTTCTTGCTAACTTATATCATAATGCACAGCTAAAGATTTTAAAATATCTTAATTTGAACATTACATATTTTTTTATGAAGAAAATTTGAAAGAAAAGACAGTAATACAAATACAGTTAAGAGGAAGAAAATATGTGAAATTTTTTCCAAATATATTATTGTTTGTTATATAAGAAACAAACAATAAAATATATGTAAGAACTTTCTTAGCTGAATTCTTTCTCCAGATAACAAAGAATGATAAAAATAAAGCTTTCATAGAAAGATTTTCATAAATATATTCATGAAACTATATAGAATATTTTTTAAAATTCATTTAAAAGCAAATATGTTATGTACTTTTATATGCATTAGTTTTGCTAGGCCTACTACATAACATAATTTACTTAATTGAAAAACTATATATTCATGTAATGAATTTATTTATATCTGTTTATAGCAAAATGTATCATAAAAATAAAAAAATTATATATTTAAAATATGAAATACTTGCTTTTTAGGTAACAAAAACATTAAGACTGTATGATAAGAAAATAATAGAATGTAAATTTGAAGATAACCAATGGAAATTTTTAAGAGAAAGAACTGATAAATCTTTTCCAAATAGTTTTACAACTGCTGTTGGTGAGTATTATTTTACTTTTGAAAAATTGTTGGAAAAAATTATTATTTGTGCAACGTATTCACCTAAAATTTAGAAAATATTTACACATATTTATAAATGCATATTTGGCATAGTATATATGGCATAGTCCTATACTATATAAACTGTAAATTTATGAACTTAATAACTTTTGAATATTATAAATTAACAAATTTAAGTCAGATAATTTTTACTGAGTTATATTTATGAAAAACGATTTGTGTTAATAATAATTAAAGATGTAGTATAAATTGTCACTTTTTGTTTAATATGCATTTCTATAAGCAGTCCTTAACTTTTAGACAACTTGCTCATTTGTACATAATAATTTGTTACCCTTAAATCACTTTGTGTGTGCCAAATTTGTACTTTTGTACACTTTCAGTTAACAAACAATTAATTTTGAGCTCTCATGTGATAACACTTTATCTATTTTGGTTTTAGTAACAGTAAGATAATTGTAAAATTAATTTTTATTTTCTGTTTACTATATGGTTTAATGTTTTAAATAATAATTTATTTGCTTTTAGACAACTTGTTTAAATGTTTGAATGCATAACAGACTATAAAACAAACCACAAAAAGAAATCTGAAATAAATCTTGGACTCCCAGTGATTGTTAATATTAATCTATTATTATTATTTCTTATGGAATTGTACAATCTACTTAAATTTTTTATACATGGTAACACATTCATTGTTAAAAGTAAAACTTTCCTAGAATGAAAGTTCCTCTCTGTCATTTGTCTTCTCAAGCAGATTTCTTGAGTAAGCAGTGCCCGAGATTTTCAAAATGTACTGTAGGTTCATAGGAAATATTTCTCCACAATCAACTCGATTCAGTATATACAGTGGTTAAAGAACATAATCCATTCCAAGACTTTGTTCATTATCCGAATTGTTTGTTAACTGATTATCGACTTACTATAGGTTTTTATGGGAATTTGATTAATTTGTTCTGGAGACCCCAAAAAATAAAAAATATATACTTTCTTACTACGTTTATTCATATGTAATAATAACACAGTCTTGC